GCATCATAGATGAATTCAGAACAAATTCCATCAAGACAATGTAATTTCCTTCTGTGAAAGGTAACAGGCCCACCGAGTGGAGAAGAAGCAGTAAGAGTTACCTGTCTTGGTTCCAGTAAAGCTCTGGCCATTGTCTTAAACAACGTACTCGGAAGGAAGTGTTCTTCTGGTGGAAACTGCTGTAGGGTGGTTGCAGGACTGTTTGGAAACTGTATTGAGAATGTGATCTTCAGTGATTGTTAGTGGAAGAATGCCTGTCAAACTAGATTCTGCAGCAGTCTCTTCCAGACAAGTGCTGCTCACCGTTCTCAGCAGTGACTTAGGCCATTCTTACTAAATCTGCAGCTGCTAGTAAGCTGGGGAGAGACTGCAAGTGCATAGGATAAATAGCAATAACAGTCTGAAAAAAATGCAGTTCAGTAGGTCAAGTGCTATACTCTTCCAAGCAAAACTAGGACTAGAAAAACACTAGATGTGGAATAACCAATAAGGCAGCACTAATGCTGAGTCTGGCAGTCTCGGTGGCTCAGAAGCTGGACCTGAGTCAGCACCGTCAAGTAGTCACAAAAAGTGGAAGATGGCATGCTGAGGTTTAAATCAAAGTACAGTGTAGAAGATAGATGGGAGGCAAGTTTCATTCTACTTTGCAGTAGTACAACTTTGACTGGAATATGTTTTAGGCCCCAGCTTTGGGGGATACTCCTCAAGAAAGCTGTAGCTGAGAGTAAGACCATCCAGAGGAGGACTGTGTAAGGGACCTTTTAATTTCTGTGCAGAATGAGCAGACTGGGATTCTATTACTTAAAGCATTGAAAACTGGCAAAGCAGTGAAATCCTGCCCAGGAAGGACAGGAAAAGAAGTAAAGGCCCATATAGTAGCAAAGAAGGTTCAGGTTAGACATTAGAAAAGCTTCCCAGTGATAAGAACAGTGAAGCTCCAGAATTGTTGACCTAAGAAAACTTTAGTCTCCAGCACTGGAAGTCTTTAAGGACACTGTTGAGAAAAGCACACGAGTTATTTAGCTGTGTGACTGAGGGATGAACCTGATGATCAGCTGAGGTTTTTAGAACAGTTTTCTATGATTTTTTAGAATCATTTGTCTCAAGCTGCTTAGAACTTTCAGTTTAGAAAGTACCGCCATCGTTTTTTCATCGAGATACTCCTACATGTGTATATATATCCCTGAGTGCTCCCTCTTAGAGGTTCTGACTTTGCAGCTCCGAGACAGCTGCTGCAGGGCAGCGCTGAGCCTGGTGCAGTTCCCGAGTGGCAGCTGCCTGCAGTGCCCACAGGGCCAGGCTGGCAGCCAGCCCGGGGACAGCCAGCCCGGGCACACAGGCAGCCTGCTGGCCTTGTGAAACTGCTGGGCACGCTGGAATAAACAGCATCCCTGTGTGATTCAGAGGGTGCCTAACAGTCCTGCTGGGGGTCGGTTGGTGGTGTGAGCAGTGCGTTTGGTCTTGATGGTGGTGTTTAGCCACCCTGGAACGTGTAGTGTAGATCTACCACGGTGAATGAGCATTGTCTCCAAGCTTTCACACAAAAGAAAGCCATTTCCAACCTCCTGACAATTTTTGCCTCTGAGTGCTGTTACAAGCTAAGTTTCACCCACTCCTTAACACTTAGTGTTCTATCAAAGACAAATTCTTTTCCTAATGGCTTTGTTTAGATTGTATTAAGTTTCAGTAATGATCTTCACTTATCTAATTTTTAGGATAATGGATAAGATTTATCCAATATATCGATTTTCCAAAACATAAATGACTTTATTTTAATACAACAAAGTAAATATAAACTCAATAGAGCAGTTATGGAAGATACATGGAATAAATATATTGTAGTTAAAACAGACACAAAGACCAAGCTGTATTAAGTACATTGCAAGTACATATTTTGTCAATATATGAATAAATGTATTGCTAGGTTAAAAATATACAACCTGAGTGAACTGCAGTCTAAACACAGCCAGAGCCGTGGAGGAGGACACAATCTGCTGTCACCATTGCTAAAGACTCAAGGTACAATAAATGTGGTGAAAACTTACAAAGCTGAGTATAATAACATTAAAAAGAGACAGCTTCAGTAATCCTGATACCTTTTAGCACTAATGACTCTTTAGTGCCCATTGCTGCTTCATGCAGGAAATCTCTCTTATGGTTACAACAACTGACTGACCTTCTTTGAGAAATAATATCCATGATAAAATGGAAAAGAATATGTTCTAGATAGATACCAGCCTGTTGTCAGTCATAGGTTATTTTGGGAATCACGCTTCCAATACTGTAAGTCAAGCCAAGGTATTGGCTTCTGCCAAGAATAGAGCCTTATATAGGTTTATAAAGACTTCAGGTTTTCCACCAAGAAGTTAAAAATATCTAAAAATATTTAAAAACATTTACAATTTATGAGATATCTTGAAATATTACAATTTATTATTGTAAAGCTACTCAAATCAAGATTATAGTAATTAAGGAGATTGCTTATTCCCTAGCAAGGAATATTCCACATGCCTTTGTATGGCATTTGGATCTATAATTCAGCAAGGTACTAAAACATTTGTTTATTGCTAGTATATACTTCAGGAAATACATACATACCTTGCTGAAGTAAAACCTGAATTACTAAGAATAAAATTCTGGGTCAGATTGCCAAAAGCAGCTTTTCATTTTATTCCTTAACCAAATTTGCTTGTTGCTAAGGGTCAAAGCACAACACTTTGGAAGAATTCCAGCGTCTTTGCATATCTCCAAGCTGCTGAAGACTGTTCTGCTGGAAGACAAGTTCTTCTGTGAGCGCTGGAAAAAATTAGAGGCCTGCTTTTGTCAATTTGTATTCTTTATCTCCACAAATGCTTACCTACACCATCAAATTAGCACAGTTTTTCTCTCTGTGTGTTCAGAAACATCCTCAGGCAGCCCTTGTGTACAGATTGGCAAGTTGGCCTCTGCTAAACAGTGTGTGGCAGTCTAATTGGACATCTGCTTCTCTCAGTGATGGCACTAATGCAGATTTTCTCCTCTGAACAGCCTTCAGTTTTATTGAAACTTAATTATGAATGAGACTTCCACATTTCTGTAAAATTTGGCTAAAATTGTCTGTGGGTATAAAACATCTTCAGGGAGATAGGACTCATTACTAACAATATGATACTGTAAGTTTCATTTTCCTAAGAAGCTAAGCTATAAAGAAAATGACTGTCAGCCTTAAAGAAATGCATTTTCAAGAGAGAGAAAGTCCTTTCGCAGAATAAGTCTGGGACTGAATTTTAGAAGCTAGCGATATTTCTACCAGTAGCCCGTAAGCATAAGTCCCCTGTAGCTGTAAGAAAGAATCTGCTTTAGTGCGGAGCTCTGAGTAAACTGCAAACAAGTAACCATAGGGTTTTGGTGAAGGAAAAAGGATGGGTGTGAGCAGAGAGCACAGGAAGCAGGCAAGGTGAGTACTGCTCACCATTGTATTTATTTACAGGGTATTTGATTAGGGAGAATATATTCTTAATGACCAGACCGACTGTGATAATAATTTCTCTGAGTTTGATGGAGTTCTGCTAGGAATACCCCTGATTCCTCCTTCTCTCATAAATCAAATCAGGAACAAGATCAATAGGCTCATTTCTTTCCTTGGCTGAGAATATCCAGACTGAAGCCACTGTCCTCAAAGAGAGCATTTTTACCATCTTGTCTAACAAATTCCAGAGACAGTGACCTCCAGAGTGTTAAGATGTTTCTGCTGTCTGTAGGTTTTCCAGAGGCACCGACAAAAGACAGATGGAAGGGAAAAATTTGGTGTGCACTGTGGAAAGGACTGGTGAATAGCTTCTGGATCCAGCTTGGGTTCTGTTTTTCACCTTCTTTCCTTTCCTAGACATCGGTGGGAAATAGATGAATAGGTCCCTAAAAATGTGTGGTAAGATATAAAAACTGAATTTCTTTGAGGGAGTGCCTGACACTAGTGAGTCTTGTTGAAGGTCTCAAAAAGCAAGTGCCTGTTGTTTACTATTTTTACTGAACTCCTCAAAAATGATTCCTACATTTAGCATTTGTGTCCTGCCCATGAACTTATTTTCATAAACTCCAACAGACTTAATTGTTAGTGCTTAACAGCCTTATGGCACGTTTTTACTAATCCCTGAATGACCCAAACCGCACATTAATGTCACATATCTTCCTCTTCAGCCTCACAGGAAATTGTTTTTTTCCTTATGTGGTTCAATGCATTATGCCAAGGGCTCTCATGAGCCTTTTCAATCATTTCAGGTTTATCTTGTGGGTAGAATGGAAGTCAAAGCAGCTGAGGTTTACTGTTGGATATATTCAGCAAACGACCAGTGAATTTCCTTCCTTAGTTCCTCAGCCTGCTGCTTTCATACCGTGGAGAATATTTTCCTACCTCCCAAAAAGGCTGTGGGACTCCTCAAGGAGCATGAGCTCATCCAGGGAAATACACTGGAGAGGTCCAGCTGTGTGAAGTGCCATGCCCCATGGATGAGGTTTCAGAAAAGCCAAGGGAACTGAAAATGTTAGAGAGACCTGCAGCAATTTGGGTACTTTTTCTGTTCTAAGCTCAGCTGGATCCCCAAATTCTGTTTTAATACACCTCACATTTTCGTCCTTGTTACTTTGGTTCATTTTCAAAGCATTTTACCAATGAGTAGTAACCAAAGTAATCCTTCTAGTCACCTACTAAAAGCAAAAATAAGAAACGTTTCTGAGACTAAAGAGTAGCCATCTGATTTTATTTCATGCAAATGCCAGAAATTAACTAGAATTAATAAGAAAAGAATAGTAGAAGGTTCCAATAACATATTTTATTGAAGGATATGTTCTGTAGTAACTTCATGTCTACACAAATTGAGATAACACAACATCACTAGGATTTTCTGATTTGAACAGATTGGGTGTGAAGAAGGCTGCCAGTTCAGTCTGAAGGTCTCAGTACATTTGGTCAGTGCTAATAGCAGCTCTACAAATGTTTCTTGGGACTTCCAAACCTTCAAGTATTTCTGTGATTTATTATAAACATGGTAAATTATAATCACTTAGGACACACATTTTTACATCATTTTTACTCAAATGATTCTTTCCTAGTTGCTTAGTACCGTGCTTTACATACCAGCTCTCCTTTCCAGAGGCCAGATTTTTACAGGACTCTTTTGTAATTGGCAGCTGATTCTCTTTGCATGTGATCAAAACAACACCGAGATGTGAAAAAATAACAAATTTCCTCCCAATTGCAGCCATGTGTCTGGAAACTGTTTCCAAATAAACCAAATATATTTTTGGAGTTTACACATATCTTGTGACATTGTTCCAGAATGTCACTGTAGTCTAGCTCACACCTGAACAGTTTTGCAGAGGTCTTATATTCCCGTTTGAGTTGGACTTGTGCCCAGATGCACCCAAGGGTAGGGTGCAGTAGGATGAGGTCTGCTTTCAGTAATACCAACTGCCAGTAAACTCAAGAGGCCTATTCAAAATAGAAACAGTTAAGCAGTGCAGCCACACAAAATTTTCCTGGCAGGAAAGAAAAGGGGTACACAGGACTGCTACATCAATTTCAAACTAAAAAAGATTTCCTCCACTGTGGTAATCACACCGTAACTTCTTAAGCCATTAAGTGGGGCTGCTCTGCAGTAATGTTTTAGTTGCAAAGGAACACTGTACATCATTGAGCAAGGATTACAGAAACTCCAAAAGACCTTCTACTTTTTCCTCTGTTTCGGAATTGAGTCATTTCTGTGACACCATCAGAAAGCCAGGATATGCTAATGAGTTTGTGTTTGTCCATGTTACTGTAGTCCTCCAGTCTGATTTATGCTATAGCAGTGTTTAAGATTGGGTCTTTTGATACATTGGATGTTTGGGGACATTAGCTAACAAAAGTTGATGTATTTTTTTTATTTCAGCTTATTGGGAATGAAGATGTTGCAATTATTTGATGACCTGGCTAAGGAGCATTCACAGAAGAGACTGATAAGAAGGAGCCAGCCTTCATAGACAGTGTGAGTAAAAAGACAAAAAACAAATTTGTATTTCAGAGCTTTCCCTGGTGACAATAAAAACAGTTTTTTCATAGGGAATCTAGGAGATTCAGAACAGACCTATGGAAGATGTAAAGATGTGAAGATGAGATCACAGATCTGAGAAAATAAAAAAGAGCCACCTTTCTCCTCCAAGATGCCCTTCAGACAATAGCATGTAAAAATAAAAAGCTTGCATAAACAAGCAACCAGTCAGACAGAAAGCTAGACCCAGATACAGGTTTTGCATTGCTGTTGCTTCCTCTCCCTACTCTTGTCAGTGGGTCTGGCAATACTGGTATGAGGAGATGAGAGAGGAAAGGAGCTCTCTTTGATGGGAGTTGCACTGAGTTCTGTTGGGAACTGGTGGCTAAGAGGTATATAGCGTTCTCCACATGGCTCCATCCTGTGGTAGACCTCCCCTGTCAAATCAGGGACTGAATGGCACACAGAAATAGGACAAAGGTACAGTTGCTCACTGATTATGTCCTCATTACCTGATGGCAAAGGTTCGGCTCTTTTCAGTGCTAGAGCTGCTGATACCAGTAGGAATTCAACAGCAACCATAACTCAGAACACTGTCTCACCGGTCTTCTTGAACAATCAGTCTTATCTCACTGTGGGAGAGTTACTCAAACTGAAAATATAAACAACCCAGTAAAAGGACTGAAACCAGTTACTCAGCAGAAGAGAAACCCCATTCTTTCTTCACTTCCTTTAGTGTGAAAAGTCACCTTGCACATTACAAGGGCTTTTTCTGCCTAACTGACAACTTGGCAACCCTGACAAGAACAATTTGACTTTGGGTGGATGTTGGATCTGTGGCAAGCATATAGTTACAAAATAAGTCATGCTTTCCTTCCATCGAGTGCATGTTCTATTTATGGAACATTCCAGATTATGCAAGGATTCCCAGAACACTGCAGCCTCTAGTTCAAAATCACATCTGCATAGCATGGAGCATATCAAACAATATTAAAAAATTCCATTGTTAGCAGAAAAAGCATCATGCAGTTATATCTACAGAACAGATTAAATTAATATGAAGTTATGCCGTAAGGTAATGAAGAGTAGTTACAGTTCATATTAATTTATTTGCTAAATTGTTTTAATAAATTGCATATATAAAAAAATAGTAATTGCATAAAAAAGACGAGATAAAGAGTTTACTATATTAAAAGTAGGATTTTTCTGATGTTTGAGAGAGTATGCATTTTAGAAGGTATATTTTAGAATGTGAATGACTTAGTATATTGCAGTCCTAGCATTGTCATTCATGCCAATTTCCTTTCAAAATAAGGTTGTGACAAAACACAGTATCTTGCTATCCATTCAGCCTTGGGATAGGAACTTTCAGTGGAAGTTTGCTTGTTTTGTGATACAAACATCAGGAGTTTTTTAAATGTTTGCGTTGAGAATAGAAAATAATAGAGCTCTTTCAGCTGCGACTTAAACAATTGCAGTGACACATAAGAGTTTCCAAACCCTTAAGAAAAGCAATACAACAGGACAATTGTGCAAATACAAAAACAAAACACACATATCACTGAACATACTTCTTGTTTTTCTGTGCAAATACTGAAAACACCTACATCTATAAAGTGTTTCCTGCCATTTCTTTTCCCCAACTCTTCTGTCACGTAAACTTGTACTTGTTTACATGTACTCAGGTAGGCCAATTGACAAAGCTTATTCTGAATTTTCAAATGATGTACCTCTCCTGAAGTGTGAGGCAGAAATTTCTGAGAGTCAGACTCAGTAACAGGCATTATGAAAATTTGGCTGGGTTTTGTCAAAAACAAAGAAGATTCCTACTTGTATTACAAAGTTTATTGTCTGAGTCATCACAGGTTTTCACTGAAAAATCAGTACAGACACAGCTTTCAGTCAAGACTATTCAAAGACAAGCTACAACAACCATTTTCATGCCATTGCAAGCTGTCAGCCTTCACAATCTTGACTAATTTTTAAAATTGGATGTATTGTTTGGATGTCCTAGTCTGTCTCAGAGGGCAGAATCATTCTGAACTCTGCTAGCCAGATTAGATTTGTCGGCTATCTAATCAAGCCAAGAACAAATTTTACTCTTTCAATATTTTTATAGTTTACCACAAAATTGCCAAGCCTTGTTATGAAGTAAACTCTGTGGTCTAACAGTAAAAAACACCTCTCTAGGTGTAGGATAGTCTGCAAAGTTATCTTCAATAATAAGTTAAATTACCAAAATACCTGGGCTTAACTCTAACCTTTTATGTGGTGTCGTAGATCTGCTACGAAGTAGAGTTTATACAACTGGAATTACAGATTTTACCCTCAGAGCCACCTTTTGTGCTTGAATTAGAAACTGGGGGATTAATGATGTTTCTTAACAAAATAACACTTGCCATTGTTAACAAAGCACTGAAGCCTCCCCACCTGTCTGTAAGATTATGCAGTGTTTCAGGCTATTAAAAATATAAAATATGCAGAGAGAGTGGAGGGAAGAAAGGGAGGTATTTCCAGGCTCCGTTGTAATGTGACTTTTTTGTAAAGGGCAATTTTTTTGTAAAGGGCATTTTAATGGAATTTTTGTGTAGTAGTATCACCTATACTTTTCTTGTCACTCAAATTTTAATCTCTGAACCACTATTTTTCCATCAACAAACCATGGAAAGAAGGTGACGTGAGCTTCTCTGTTACCTATCCAATTATTCATCATTAATGGGCTGAGTTGCAATGTAAACCAGCATGCGTAACGTTAGAGTCAGAAAGGAGCCAGATTAGACAGTTTTAATTACCCAAGAGTCATCATTTGAACTCTCTCTTCTTACACCCTTTCATTTTAAAATCAAACCTCCAGTCTCACATGTTGGTTTTCTCACATCATCCATAAGATACTGGAATAATTTACACAAGGTGTGAAGTAGTCTGTTTTTAGCTATCTGTTACAAAGTTAGCAATGTTACTATTCTTACTGGGCACAGTGTGTAAGATATATTCCCACACTAGGAGAGTATTTAGTAAGGTCACAAGGATGCCCAGTCCTTATCAAACACATTCCCTGGAAACTTGGCAGGGATTTCATTTTACAAGAATTCAGGGGCAAATCATTGGTATCGTCTCTAGATTTATTTCAGTTTTTCAGTGTTTGTGCAGAAAGAAATTCATAGTATCCACCTGGACAAGATGATTTGTTCTCAGCTGCATTAAAACTCTAGTTTTGCTTTAAATAAATTCATTTTGAATTTATTTAATTCACTAACTTTAATGGAGTTGCTTCACCTTTACACTACTACAAATGAAAAAGAAGCAGGCTGTATTCATACCACTGAGATTTATTTTAGTCTGATTAATCATTCCTTAAAGAAGAAAATTGAAGATTTTGTGTAATTTTACAGATAATAATTTCAAGGGCAGAGACAAATACAGACTAATATATGCAAGGATTAGATGCAAATATTTTCCATGTTTGAAAAGAATTTTCTGTAACCAAAAGAAGCAGAAGCCATAGAATTGCAACTCTAAATGGAAATCGAATCCTACAGAAAGAAAGGAGGACTTGGTCAGAATGCTGTGCCTACCTCTAATAATCTGTGGGAAAGAGGGGAGCCCCTCCCTACTTTATTTCTTTTGTTTTTGCTTTTTTTTTGGACTTTTTTTCAAAGTCTCTGTCTTGTAGAAAGTGTTTGTGCACAGTGAGAATGTTGCCAGAAACATAGAGGTAGAACTCTTGTGACCATTGGCTGTTGTTGCAGATCTCGCAGACAGTCTATATGGTAGAAGGTTCTCCAAATTCTGCTGCCAAGATGGACTGAACTATATATCCTGAAAAGATGTATTAAATAAGACATGCCGCAGTGGAAAAAGACATGGTCTGCTGTACTCTTGAGATCAGTAGGGAAGGGAGAGCAAGGAAAGTCTTATTTTGGGGAAGAATATTTTTAAATAACTTACTAAGAGGAAAAAAAAAACAAAAAAACAGAAGAGCAAGAACAGAGTTAGTTATTACCATCTGCAAAAGCTGAATATGGCCTCAGGGTATGATCTTAAATGAATGAGGGAACTCCAGTTCCTCTGAGAATATGAGAATGTACGTAAAACTAAGTTATGAAACTTAGCAAATATATTGAATTACATATCCTGAAAGCAGAATTTATGCAGGTAATACACGATACAGAATACTTGCTATGGTATCATCAGTCCTTTCTTTGCCTATTTGCTGCACATGGAGACCTACCCAACTAAGCCTCAGCAGAAAGTTGGAATTTGAAGCTGAATAATTCATTAGTTTGGGTTAATAGGAAAAGGAGTAATGCCTAGCTTCCACGTTGTACTACACCTGTACAAATTAGTGACTAAGAGTCACCAGGAGTCTTTTTCTGCCCAGACACATACCGTTATGCAGCATGCACTTTACAGCATGCAGCAGTGCTCAGGAAGAACAGCTGGCTAAGCTGCCAGCTTGTACTCTGCTCTCAGTGTTTTGTCTTCTCCCCCAGCACTCCAGTATGGCATCTTGCCATTTGCAGCGAGTTCTGGCCAGAAGACGGCATTTGGATACAGCCCCACTCCAGAAGTCCAGCAAAATAAATTGACTCAGCCTATTTGTCAGAATAAAGTCTTCTACCAAAGGATACCCTTTGTCAGAAGATGACAGTACTGCAGAGGCCAGCTGCACTCAGAAACCTGCATTCTGTTCCATCAGAGATTTTTTCTGTGACCTTGAACAAGTAATTAGCTTGTTTATGCCTTCCTTTGCTGCCTGAAAATACTTGCAGAGGTTCTTAAAGGTAAGATTGCAAACCCCTCAAATATAGTGGTACTGTATTTGAGGACTGGAGCACTAGAAAAGTGGACAGATACTAACTTTCTTTGGAAGCACACATTTCTACTTCAACTATCAAAACCCCCCAACTGTACCAGAGTTCGAGTATGGGGGTCAGAAAAGGCTGTGATAGCAGAGAGTCTTCAAACTCTGCTCTTGGGTAATGAACATGTCTTCTGACACTTAAACCACTGCTGGCTGATAAACAGCACATCTTGCCCTTCTGGCCTACAGAAAGGGTCACCACATGTAGGGCCTTTGCGTTGTTCTGGGAAATGCAGAACTTAGAAGGCATCAGCAAGAATGATACAGTTCTGTGTTATATAATTATAATTTCTCCCCTAAGACACAAATCTCCCAGCTGGTAACGTACCCTGGCTTTCCTCACGTGAGTGTCACAGTGCTCTTTGTGCAGCATTGCTTCTGGAGCTCACGGTTCAGTAACTTTCTATCTGCCTTGATTGTAAGTGGCATTGTCAACGCTCATGCCAAAAATAAACCCTCCTGACTAATGACATGGATATTCCACAGGCTTAGAGTTATCTTTTTATAGCAACTCTTTGATTTCAGATACAAACGTCTGCTATTTTTGGCATAGGGGCTCAGAGAAACTTTCATGATCTTTAGCCTACATGACCAGTTTTGCACACAGCTCAGGTTCTGTCAGAGTGCTCATGGCTTTTGTTAAAGATAGGGAAATACATTTATTCTGCTGGATATTTGTACTCACTAGAGAAACGGCTGCCCTAGAAAATGGAGACTGCTATTGCATGACGTTTTCCACATTGTTGCTGGGATATTAGGGATTTGTCACTTCAAGAGATTCTAAAAGTCTGATGGTTTGATGTTTAATGTAATGATGTTTAATGTAATTTTGAATTGCATTAACTAGAAGTGAAAGATAACCATGGGATGACTTGGATGTATTTCTTCATTTAATGACCTGGAGATGTGTTATTTATTTATCTATTTTAATAAGAGAATGTGGTACAAATGGCAGATGCCAAGTTCACCCACTGTCTGATAGAAAATCACTGTTTATTCAATAGCACAGATGGAAGATGTCCATATCCAACACCCTTTTTTTAACGCATATTTTCCTTCTAATTCAATTCTACCAGCTATAAACAACACTAGAAGCTACTGTGTAGTCAGAGCTCTTGTTTTTTTTACCACATGTCAGTTCACTACAGCTGGATAACACACCAGTATAATTGTGGCAGCACCACCTGATTTAGTCATTGTTATCAGTGGTGCAGTGAATTATGTTTCTGATGTTTACTCTTGTAGTCAGAGCCATCTCAAGGAAATACGTATTATTACTAAATGTTCTGTAGCTTAAAAAACGTTTACCAGATTGGAGCTAGTTTACCACATTCAGTACAGAATCTGGAAGGTAATTTAATGTTCTAATCCTTATATAGCTTAATATCATTGGTAAGATTTTTTAAACAAGGTTTGCCATTTTCATGATGATAGTGTCATCGGTAGCCAACTAAATAGTATCCCTGACTATCAGATCTACCTTTACCTAAGAAAACATAGTACCAGGAGGTGGAACAAGTAGGCACTCCGGAAGCACAGCTTTAGAAGAGAGAACAGGCCATGTGGGAGACCACATCTGGAATATTATGTCCAGTCTGGGGTTCTCCCAGCTCACTCCAGTTTAAAAAATCCAGTGGAGAACTACAGAGATGGTAGGGAATGTGAACATACAATGTGTGAGAAGAGGCTGAGGGTTTATGGTTTGCTTTGCCTGGAGAAAGGAAGGCCAACACAGAATGTATGTATTGTCTTCTGCAACCTAAAGCTGCTGCATATAGAAAAGACAGCAACGGACTGTTCTCAAAGGGACACCACAAAAGCACAAAGAGTCATAGTCACAAGTTGCAACAAGGGAGAGGCATAGGAAAATATTCTTCATAATAAGTGGTTAAGCACAGTGACAGATTACCCAGAGAGACTTGAAAATCTCCAAGGTCAGAGGCCATAAACCCAGCTGGCAAAAACCCACATCAGCAAATAGAGTTACAGTAGCTCCTCTCTGAGCTAAAGCTGATGATTGCCTAACTTGATGATTTCAACAAATACTTATTGAAATTGTGGCAGAAATTGTTGTTCTTATATGGTCTAATTTCAATGCTACTTCAGTTCTATGGGACTACTTGGTATCTGTAATGCTAGTTACTGGTATGGGTTATTTTTCATTAATGCCTGCAGTTCAGAAAGTCTGTTCTTGAACTTGCCACTATACAGACATAGAACAAAGACACCAGTCCTTACACATTAATCATGACAGGCAAATGGTGGGAAAGTAAGAAAGTACAGGAAAAAGAAGTCCATGACTGATCATTAGAAAAACTAGAACAGATCCTCAGCTCTCAGTTTAATATTTTTTTTTTCATAGAAGTTTCTTGCTCATGTTCCCTTATTGATCAATATGAATTAACAATCAATCAATGTAATAAAACTACAAGGGGAAAACAGTATTATGGATGCTTCTACCAATGTATGAAATAATTTTAAAAGTGAATTTCACATGTAGTCTGTGATAGGACCCTATGACCCTATTTATTCTGTAAATAAATATGGCCCTAAACACCAGTGCATAAAGGCTGCTTAAGGCTGGAGGTAGGATGATTCCATGTTGTCCTGTTTTAGTAGGGTATACCTAAGGTATATGTTTTAAGATTATTGAATGCAATTAATTTCACAATTAATTTGAAAGGACTGAATATCTGACCAGATTAGATTCAAAGCTTGGGCAACAATTGCTACAGCTGAACAGAGTTTCATATACCTATTTATTTTAGCTGTTCATTAATGTTAATATCCAGTGGTTAAAGTTAAAATTCAGTCCTTTAGACTTTCCCCTTAAGGCATGATGTCTTATGAATTTATTCATGCATGTTAATCCAACTAGTAATTTTTTCCTCTCCCTCTATGTATAATCTTCCTCTCCTTTTAGCATTTGACCATTTCAAACACTCAAAGAGAAACAATAAGCTCCCATGGAAAGCTGTTCCTCTCAACAGTAAAACAAACAAACAAACAAACAAAAACAACAATAAAAGAAAACAAAAGGATCAAAAACTTACTACCATTGTGGGATAATTTAGGTGAAAAAATGTTTTATTTCTAAAGCTGATATGCAATATATATGTGTGTGTGTATAGCTCTATGCTTTAGCAGATTTCTTCTTTACCTTTTTCAGGCCTCTACAATCATGTGTGATGACAAGAAACAACCCACGGAACAATATGTATCATCTTTCACTGTGTCTGTCGGGAGGTGCTTTATTTGGGGAAAAAACAGAAAACAAACTCAACTAAATATAATAGAGAGTCATAACATACATTGTTAACCTGAATATGGGCAACAGAAAAATACATAATAAAAACAATGACCTCTTTTGTAGCAAAAGAGGGTTTGGGAGAAAGTTCCCTTCTTTTACTGTAGAAACTCAGCAATGATGTTCAGTGGTGATGCTAGTCAGCAAAAATATTGAAATACTGCTTAGTATTGAAGCTTAAGAGAGATACCACCACGATCAGAAAGGAGCTGCATTGTAACATGCAAGATTCCTCTAATTTTTATTAATTCTATAAAATATGAAAGTTAGAAAATTACAATGGAAGAAACTTCATTTGCTATACTTTCGTGGACAGAACAAATCTTTTCTGAAGAGTGACTGACAGGTTTGTCTGCCTGGGTAGGGAAATATATATTATCTGTTTTCCACTACCTCCTGTGTGCAAACACTTCAAAAATATTAGTCCGCATGCACAAAGACACTCCAAGATGAGGACATGCCTTCCCCTTAAAGAGAGAGATGGTGCAGATCTCCTTAGGGAAGCTGTGATCAGAATCAAAATGAAGCAGTCAGTCACTGCACAACACTATAAAAAAGGTCCCAGCACCAGTTTTTCAGCTAAGGAACAGCATTGCACCCCAGTAACTGTCTGCTGTCTTTGGTTCACTCTGATTCTGTGCCATCCTGTAACTGGCTGTATGTATTGTTTAGCAAATGACATTGTGTTCCACTGTGCACCATTTTTCATTAAAGATCTGTCATAAGGGAACACAGAGCTACTGCAAAATAGCTAGCAGACCTAAATTCATACCATTAATGTGCAGTAATTGCATTGTAAACAAACTCTGTTTCAGACTGCTGCTCATCTTACTATTGACTTATCAGTTTACATACTCACTTTAAAGAATGATAGTTATAACCTACCGTGGAGAACTTTCTGATACATTATAAATACCCAAGCTAAGTTTCTGACTACATTACACTAGTGTGAATTCAGTGACCCCAATGGAAAAAGAATTCCTCCAGATTAATCCTCAACAAGAGGTCAAAACCTTGATTCTTTTCTTTTTCTACTGGCTTGGTTGTCTGTTTTTAACTGGGAATGCTATTTATACAGAACACTATTTAAATACGGAAGGTTTATGATTATGCTATGCAGACTGAGACAGACAAAGAAAATGAGAATGCTTGGAACAATGTACAGCAGGTTGCTGGGTAGAGGTGGGTGATTCTGAATTCTCTTCATTTGGAACAGACCCAATGTAACTCCAAAAAATGTGAATGCATTTATACAAGCTACAGACAACTCATAATTAATGTCTTAAATCCCCTTATAGTTTAGACTTCAAAGGGAAAGAATGAAAATAACTATCAATTATAGAGTCCATAGGGCAATGTTAGACTGTTTTTTACAGATTTACCAGTTAGCTGTTGTCAGTTTATTTCCAAGATTTTTTAAAATACTTGGTGTCAAAGGTGAGCATCATTGAGTACATCCCATGCAAACTGTCAAGCACATTATCTTTAGGGAGGCTTTTCCTATCCCCAGTTTGATGTGCTAGGTGGAAATGAGAACCCTGCTGACAGCAGGCCAGATGACTGATAAAGTACACATCTAACATTGAGTCAAATGCTCCACAGTCCCAATGTATACACTTGACAGAGAGACAGACATTTGTGTAATTAACATTTGGCAAGCAAGAGGCAGATAAGTATTCAGTAGGAGGTTTACTGAGAACTGAATAATTCTAGTCATCTCTGTAATACGTGCACCAGCTGCCAGTCAGAGCTGGGGGATTTCTTTAGACTGACAGAGTCATGTGTATTCACCTTTTCTTAGCTCACAGAGGAAGAACTCTCTCTTTCCAGAAACTGACATAAACAGACTTCTCAGCAGATGTGAACACAATACAGATAAGCAAATTTCTAAATGCACAGGCTAAAGGTTAGAATCACAGTAAGCTTACCTGGTTTAAAGTGTTTCTATAATCAGAACTATCAAAGTCTTAAGAATCTGTACTGAAAAATAGATGCACCAGAAACAGTTTTGGTAGAAGTCCTCATTAAGGCTCCTTGCTTGTTTTCCCTTGTTAAAAATCAAGAGAGGTCCTGCAGGTGAAGCTCTAACTACTCATGACAAAGGATGCAAAAGCAGAACATTTCTACTTTTTCTTAACAACAGGCATCTCTGAGTACAGTACCTCTGCTCCTCTCACCTCCAGCTTTCAACAGTAAATTCATTGCCTCTTCTGGGGAAGAGCTGTGATATTTTTACCATAAAGCAGACAATGCTCAGCATCATATTTCAAACAGGTTCTCTGGCCCAAATGGTCTGAGTTGTGAGGCATCAGCAACGCAACCTGTTAGTTTCCTAAAACAGAAGTCTGGAAAGATGCCTATATTCCTGGGCAGTGAAACTGTTTTCACTATTGTCTTTTCAGTCTTTGATTAACCGAAGAGCCTAGAAATTCTATGCACAATTGATATGGCTCTATTTTGTATTTATTCTAACTATTTTATTTCTCACCTAGTTTTGGAGAAAAAAAAAATAAATCCAAACATGTCAGGTGATTGATGATGATCTGTCTCATACACCAAGGGACCCACATCTCAGAGACCACAGGTACCACAGTCCTTGGCTTTGAGAAAAGGCAGGGTACAGCAAGAAGAATAAAGAAGAATAAAGCTTACTGGGATTAAAACTTTAAACACCGGGAAAAGAGATTCCTTGCCATTTGCAGTCAACAATGACAAAATGAAGGAGTCTATAAACACCTGGCTTTAACTTGTAGAGAGGCAGAAAACCATATTCAAATGATAGAAAAATTTCCTATAGTTTTGCTGGTAGAAATGCATGAAAATGATTTAATATATCAAAATACGTAGCCCTTCATTCTTAAATCATACTCTATTTCATTTAAACCGTTCCTGGATAAGCCATTTAACTTTAAAAAGAGCTGATGGAAGTTCAGAATTGCCTTACATAGAAAATTACAGAGAAAATTAAGGTTTTTCATCCTATCCTAGAGAAAGAAAGTGAATTGCAGGGTTTATTTCCTTGTAGTATTTTGATGATTACCTCCAAACGTTCCAGTTTTTACCCCAGAAAATTGAAATGTGACTGTAAGACTATGAAATGTGTGACTATGAAACATTTCAGTTTAGCCAAACCAACATAAAATTCTTTCATTTTTCATTTTTATGAAAATTAGAGTTTTATACTCTACTGAAAAGGTCGTAAATGCTTTGAAACTTTTATTTTTAAATAACTACCTTTTCATAAATTAAAAATGATCACTTTAAATTACTTTCAGATAGAGATTGTTCTATGCTGTAGCTTGGCAGGTTATAGGTTTTAAAGACAAGCTATAAATCCTCCAAATAGGCATCAATAATAGAAATAATTACCCAGTCTTTATAAAGCAGTATGAACAATTATACTGCAATATAAAAACCTATTTCCTCTATAACCAGCAATGAATCAGATGCCCATTAATGAATAAAGGTTGTGAATCATCCTCTTTAAAAGATTTAACACTATGAAATGCCACAGCTTCTTAAAATCCACTCCCTAGCTTGTATATGTTAACAATGTCATGACCAGAGATGGTTAATAAATAAGTGGAGTTTGGATTCACTGACTTAGCTTGGGTATGTTGTGCACCAAAACTGTTTTGGTGAAATCCAGGACAGCACAGTATCAGCTAACTCCTAAGGACACAGTCCTTTTTATGGTACATTGGGAAAGTACTTTGCTCTGACTTCAAAGATACAAAGTCATACATTTTGAGAAGATATTTTCACAAAGCAAAGGAGCCTATTTAACACAATGACATTTGTAAGCGGTTTCTTATTTTATCCGAAACAATTCACTCATCCATCAGTATCCAATTAAACGTGGTATGAGTCAGATTGTAATATTGGCTGCTGCTGACTAATACGGCAGGTCACCATCTATACATAGAACTATTCAATGATGATACGGTGATTGGCACCTTCAATTAGAGACGGTGACCGTGAGCACAGTATATGTGTTTTAAGGATATGTGTTATTATATTTAGTCTGGTAACCTAAGAAGCCAATATATACTATTAGAGCTTTTCTATTGAATAAGCCTGATTTAGTACTACTTGCTAATATTTTGTAGGTTTTGATTGCTTTGTTCCTACTGTATCAAATACATTCTTCCCTCACATACAGAGGAATCTCAGCAAAATGAGTATTTGGTGTGTATGCCTAAAAAAATGTACGTAATACATTATTTTTAACTTAACATGCTTTCATAAACATAAGATGTAAATTACCTCATCCTTTGCAAGAAGGAACATGAGGTTTACAAATCAGCAGAGACCAAAGGAATAAGACTAGCATGCAAGAAATACTTCAGTAATTTTTGAAACAGTATGGCAAATTTATTTTTCAGGTCAGCACATGATTTTCTGTTGCTTTCTTTTCCTTAGTCAGTCCTGGCTTACACTACCCCTAGTGTAGTTAAGATCAATAATTTAATCTGAAATTGAAATGGATTTTAAAAATTCAGTTTGTGCTTTCAGTTTGAATACTGTATAGACAACAAATAAGCTGATTGTAAGCATGATAGTTTTGAACAGTGCACACAGGTTTTTGCAACAATCTGAGTCCTCTGAGCTTCATAAAAAAATTTTAAAAATGCTTGCATGAATGATTGTTAAAATGTCAGTGTCAAAAAATCCAGAGAAAAGACGTACGAGGAACGGCTGAGGGCACTGGGCCTGTTCAGCCTGGAGAAGAGGAGGCTGAGGGGAGACCTCATCGCAGTCTACAACTTCCTCGTAAGGGGGTGTCGAGAGGCAGGAGACCTTTTCTCCATTAACACCAGCGACAGGACCCGCGGGAACGGGGTTAAGCTGAGGCAGGGGAAATTTAGGCTTGACATCAGGAGGGGGTTCTTCACAGAGAGGGTGGTTGCACACTGGAACAGGCTCCCCAGGGAAGTGGTCACTGCACCGAGCCTGTCTGAATTTAAGAAGAGATTGGACTGTGCACTTAGTCACATGGTCTGAACTTGGGTAGACCTGTGCGGTGTCAAGAGTTGGACTTGATGATCCTTAAGGGTCCCTTCCAACTCAGGATATTCTATGATTCTATGATTCTACATCACATAGAAGTTGAAATGACAAACACAAGAAAAAAAAGACAGGATTAATGTAGTCATTTTTTCATTTGAATTAAGTTAAACAGAATAAGAACATGACTTCCCAGGTGTTTTTTCTTTTTTTCTTTATAGTACCTGTTCTTGCATACTGAAAAATAAAGAGGCTTCTTACAATGCTCTATCAGTTATGTGGAATGACCCAGAGACTTTAAACACCATGAGTTAAGTGTTAGCCTTGCCTTTGTCTCTAAGAACTGGCTTCCATCCAGACCACTACTTCATGTTATAGTCCATGACAGCAATACTAGCCTATAGGTAGTTGCTCCGGAGAAATAACGCATATCTACAGCCTGGCAGAGAATGGGATGTACTTACTTATGAATTCTAGACATGGTCCAGCTGGAGTTGACTAGCCAAGCAGGTGTTCCTCTCTTAGTAGCGCTAATTAGTACTGCAAAGTGCTGACTTATTACTGTCTAGCTCTGGACTTAGCTCAGGTATCTCTACGTTGTACTGCATGCTCTAAGCTGAGATTGATCATGTATTTAATTTGCTGATGAGAGAGGGCCCCATATGCCATTAAATCCTATCAGACATGCAGGCTGTGAGTATCAAGACTGACAATACTGCACAATTCTCTAAAAATACAGTGCAATTCTCTTTGCACTGCATAAGAAAAGACAGTTTGTCAAGTCACAAACACAAAAGCTAACTGTAATTTTGGATACTTATGTCCTTCTCCTTATATTTCTGCAAATGAGTCCACAAAAACATTTACAGTTCTTTCTGTAAGTCCAGTGATCACCTTGGTCACCTGAAAGACACAAAAAACCTCTTGTGAAAATTTACCATCTGTCTTGCCATTATCATTGCTTCTTTTTTAAATGCAGTACTATAAACATAGCAAAGTCTCATTAACCTTTCAAAGACAAATGTTAGATGTTGCTTTATTTCAAGAGTAGATTTGTAGTCAATAGAACTTTTCTGAGTTAAAAATATCTCTTTAAATGATCTTCTCAGAAGATCACATTCTTGGAATAACTAGATTAATTTTGCAGTTCTGGATATGAACAAGAAAATAACTTATATCTAAGGCAATTAATTATTCCACACTCAGAGGAAAGGGGACTTTAACAAGGCCTGTCTGTTCCATGCAACAGAGTTTAAG